CCCCCCCGCCTCCTTAGCTCAACGTCTGGATCCGCCACTGGAATGGCAGAAAGTCAGCTTCAATCCAAAAAGATCTCTTCACTCGTGCGCTCAATATTTTTGTCATGTTTGATGGCAGGACTTGAGCTTCTCTATAATTGACTCTTATGTCATTACCCTCTTATAAGTCCCCACCCCAGAGGTATGGAAATGAAACGACAGATTGACAAATCCCCACAGAAGCTTGGTAAAGCTTTTACGATATTCTTGTTATTGTACAGTGTTGAAGTGAGACGTGTAACCAAAACTGAGCTTTCTCTTGGTAGGCGTTGCAGCTCAGTCGTAAGAGTAACAGTGATCGAATTTGTAGCTCGTTAGTTCTTATCTTTCGTTTGGGGCTTAGTGACGCTCAGAAGTTCTCTGAAAGAAATTTATAGGCTTATACCAACATGGGTAGCCATAGTTATTTATCCTTGCTATTGTCAACACTAAAATCTACTTTTGCCTACCTTAGCCGCAATGGGTTGGGTTCGGACAAGAACGCTCCTTTTGCAAGACCCTAAGACCTCACTACTGAATCGTCAGTTTCATTGCTATGCACGAGCGACAGGAGACGATGGTCATTGTCTCTTGGTATGAATGAAAGACTTAAGACCCGAGGGAGGGCGTGACTTGGAATTTTTGTTGGGGTGTGCCATGAGAAGACACAATTGATGTCTACTGTAAGTATCTCCTCCCGCGGAGANATGGTCTTGATATTCTTTCGCGAAAGATAGCTGATAATCGAACCTGTAAAGTGTGCTATTACTTTCACCAAATTCTCTTTCAGGCAAAATATGTTATTTTCCCTACCCACGTTCACATCCCTGGCCGTTCTTGTATATGAAGCGGCACACTGCATCTTAACGCGTGGAATTATTTTTCATGGTTAGTTGTCTTTTTGCCTCATTTTTTTTCGCGAAGAGTAAAAGCTCGACCAAAGCTAGCCTCCTACGCAGAAGCTCTTAGGAGGCTAGACCATTGCCGGCATAACTAAGTT